TGTTTCTTTAAGGATGTACTATTTTTTTCAACATATAGGCAAGTGAGTCATTTGATGATGCAGTCTAGTCCAGATGATTCGTATCAGTTACTGGTTGAAGTACTTGCAGTTTAATTACTTGAATTACTTGAATTTACTAGACTGATTTGCTTGTTAAACTTTTTCATTAAAGTAAAATATGTAAAAATATTTAGGTGCGTTCAGTCTTGTGCTTGTCACATACAATTCACAAGCTCACAGTTTTAACATTTTATATAAAACACTAGTAGTGGTATATTAACTGTATTTTAAAATATTATTGGTATTTAAAAAAAAATCAGTTGCATCAGTTACAATGCTGTATTTGATGAGAATACCTTTGTCTTCTCAATTTTTGTAATGATTTTCATCTTGCAGATTGTGTAATTCTAGTCATTAGACTATACCTTTAGAGAACCAGTAATAAGTAAAAATAATAATAATAATAATAAATAATTCTGAAATCAAGGCTGCTATTAAATAGAATGTTCACTGTTAATCTGTTTATAGCCGTACAGAGTGAGCTCATGCCTGGAAGAAGACCTCTTATAAAATGCTCTTATTGTGTTATAACAGCTGAATTTCATACCTGATTTACTAAGTCTGCTGTTTTTGTTAAAGGTTAGAGCCATTTGTAACAGGAGGGAAGGATATATATTTTTTTAGCCTGTAGTAATGAGGGTCATGCTTAGTTTATTCTCTTAGGTGTAAGACATTTCTCTGAAGGATCATCTTTGAGTCTTATGACTGTGTGTGTACTATATATATATATATATATTGAAAAAGTTCAATTTTTTTGTAAATTATTTCAAAAAGTGAAACTTTCATATATTCTAGATTCATTACAAGTAAAACATTTCAAAAGTTTTTTGGTTTTAATTTTGATGATTAGAGATTACAGCTCATGAAAGTAAAAAATCCAGTATCTCAAAATATTAGAATATTTACATTTGAGTTTCATTAAATGAACATCCCTACAGTATAAATTCCAGGTGTCTCTTGTTCTTTGAAACCACAATAATGGGGAAGACTGCTGACTTGGCAGTGGTCCAGAAGACGATCATTGACACCCTCCACAAAGAGGGTAAGCCACAGAAGGTCATTACTGAAAGAGCGGCTGTTCACAGAGTGCTGTATCAAAGCATATTAAATGCAAAGTTGACTGGAAGGAAGAAATTGGGTAGGAAAAGGTGCACAAGCAACAGGGATGACCGCAAGCTTGAGAATACTGTCAATCAAAGCAGATTCAGACACTTGGGAGAACTTCACGAGGAGTGGACTGAAGCTGGAGTCAGTGCATCAAGAGTCACCACGCTCAGACAGCTTCAGGAAAAGGGCTACCAAGCCACTTCTGAAACAGAAACAACCTCAGAAGCATCTTACCTGGGCTAAGGAGAAAAAGAGCTGGACTGTTGCTCAGTGGTCCAAAGTCCTCTTTTCAGATGAGAGCAAGTTTTGTATTTCATTTGGAAACCAAGGTCCTAGAGTCTGGAGGAAGGG